TGTGCTTTTTAATTTCAACACCGTGTGATATCTTTTATATGAGTGTCTGATGTTTTGTTTTGCAATTGTGTCATCGTTTTGAAATCAGGCTCTCGTAAAAAATGAAAGTAAAATTTTTTAAAAACAAATCAACCAGTTCATTTATTTTCATTCTTATTTTTTTTTTTTTTATATGGGCAGTTGCAAAGAATTTTTGTTTTGTATCTGGGGTCTTTATCGCTTGACAGGGATAACATATGTCCTGATAAACAGGCTGAGAGGGATAACATATGTCCTGATAAACAGGCTGAAAGGGATAACATATGTCCTGTTAAACAGGCTGAGAGGGATAACATATGTCCTGATACACAGGCTGAGATACTCCACGAAAAAAGCAAAAAAAGTTTCCCATACAGGAATCGAACTCATGTTTTCTGTGCGCAATGGTGAATCGTTTTATTGTCCTTATCATCATTATTATGATTATGATTATTAATATTATTGCTACATGTATTATAATTATTGTTGTTATTATCATTGACATTATTATAGTTATATTACCATTATTATTATCATTATCATCAATATTTTTATCATTATCATCATTGTTATTATTGTTGTTTTCATTGTATTTACAGTACATTTAGCGCATGTCCCTGTTCTATGCGGCTTGCAAAAACAGTTGGACCTGTACTGTTCTAAGGGCCACCTGTATAAAACAATCACCTGTACAAACGGCCACGTCCAATTTCCTCCCCTGTATATTCTCTACAATAGAATGTCACTGTGTAAGACATTCACCTGTCTAAGACAACCACTTTTCTCATCTTCAAAGGGCGGTCGTCTTAGACAGATCTGATTGCATTTTGCTTGAAAAGTATTACAATGTCCGATTAAGTTATGAATTTACCGCTTTCAACATGTATTATGTATGTTCATTTAAACAAGAGAAACGATGATTATATTCATTTATAATGTTTTAATGAAGGAGATCTTTTTTGACAATTTGCTACCTCAGAAGGACGAAGCTGTAACTGCTCAAGAGTCAATACCTGTATACCTAGTTTTGAGAAACTTGACGTAGAAGATTTTGAGTTTCACAACATGTCAAGCTTTTTTCGAATGCAATTCTTTGAATATACGTATCTCAATAACGACTTCAAATAATTTAAAAATTTTGATAGAGCAGATAGAGCATTTGGTTTCTGACTTTATGGTCTTAGTCACTCAGTACAGCCAAAACTGTCAGATAGAATTGTGTAATCCTGAGGAAGCGGAGTAATGTAACGATGTCTTCCACCATAATGAAAGTGTTCTGATCTGTTTGGAAACTGTGCTATGGATGATCTCAAATAATAAAGTCATAATTCAACTTGAACGAGGTATTTTTGTTCATTTTTTAAAAAACAGTGTATATATAAACACATATGCTCACACACATGCACACACGAACAAATGCACACACACATACACATATATCAAAGAGTTTTATACAAAGAAAAGAAGGAGGAGAGATTTCTAGGAAGATGAAAGTTGGGTAGGAAAGAAGGAGCAAACCACACTAGAGCACTTGCCAACCACTATAGTAAGATAAGATGGGGGTGTGGTGTGATGTGGAGTGGTGTGGTGTGTTGTGGTGTGTGGTGTGGTGTGGTGTGGTGTGGTGAGGTGCGGTGCGGTGAGGTGAGGTGAGGTGAGGTGAGGTGAGGTAAGGTGAGAAGAGATGATAATGAGATATGAAAAGATGAAGTGAATAAGATAAACTTTATTCATCCTCTGTTGGAAGACATTGACAGCATGTCTACATCAGCCTTCTACCATACAAAACATGACATAACATACAAAACATGACATACACATACAAAACATGACATACACATACAAAACATGCATAACATACACATACAGTCCAGGCTGCTTCAACTGAAATCTGTGGGACCGACAGAATTTTCTTTGGTTTAGCCAGGGTTTTCCGTTCAGAGAAGTGGCTCAAATAGAAAAAAATATTAAAAAATCAGGGATTGTCTTTTCTTTTGGTTCACCGCTGTTTTCTGATAAACCAGGTGTCCAGGTTAGGCTGACTCCCCAGAGTTAATGGCAAAGGCAAAGAGTCAACGCGTCACATACTTCTCCTTCTTTCATTCTTTCACTCATACATTTATCCTCTCCCCATTATATATATATATATATATAAACAGCTGTTTAATAAGAACATTTGTTATCATCATCTGTTAATATTCCCATCTGCCATTGTGCCTAGTAGAACCATGAGCATGTGAGCATTTCTTTATTTCACACTCACTTTTAAGAGAAATTAACTGAGACAAAAAACCCCAAAAAAACAACGAAAAAACCCCAACCATGTATGCCGTTAATCAATGAATGACAATAGTACAAAACAGAAATATACCAAACAATTGCAATTGCAATGGCTAGTGATAGTTTCAAGGTTCAAATACACCCGAGTCTAATCCTGAAAAATAGAAACATCTCTCAATGACAACCAATTAAAAAAACGACACGTTTAAATGCAAAAAAGGCCAAGTGTGGTCAGCTCTTCTATGACGTTGGGTATTTTGTTGGTTTTTTGAGGCGTTTTTTTTGTACAGTAGTTACCACAAACTGAAATTTCAAAGTCCTCTGATTTCACATTTAACCGCACTACATTAAACACAACTGCTCAAGAGTCAATACCTGTATACCTAGTTTTGAGAAACTTGACGTAGAAGATTTTGAGTTTCACAACATGTCAAGCTTTTTTCGAATGCAATTCTTTGAATATACATATCTCAATAACGACTTCAAATAATGAAAAAATTTTGATAGAGCAGATAGAGCATTTGGTTTCTGACTTTATGGTCTTAGTCACTCAGTACAGCCAAAACTGTCAGATAGAATTGTGTAATCCTGAGGAAGCGGAGTAATGTAACGATGTCTTCCACCATAATGAAAGTGTTCTGATCTGTTTGGAAACTGTGCTATGGACGATCTCAAATAATAAAGTCATAATTCAACTTGAACGAGGTATTTTTGTTCATTTTTTAAAAAACAGTGTATATATAAACACATATGCTCACACACATGCACACACGAACAAATGCACACACACATACACATATATCAAAGAGTTTTATACAAAGAAAAGAAGGAGGAGAGATTTCTAGGAAGATGAAAGTTGGGTAGGAAAGAAGGAGCAAACCACACTAGAGCACTTGCCAACCACTATAGTAAGATAAGATGGGGGTGTGGTGTGATGTGGAGTGGTGTGGTGTGTTGTGGTGTGCGGTGCGGTGCGGTGAGGTGTGGTGAGGTGCGGTGCGGTGAGGTGAGGTGAGGTGAGGTGAGGTGAGGTAAGGTGAGAAGAGATGATAATGAGATATGAAAAGATGAAGTGAATAAGATAAACTTTATTCATCCTCTGTTGGAAGACATTGACAGCATGTCTGCATCAGCCTTCTACCATACAAAACATGACATAACATACAAAACATGACATAACATACAAAACATGACATAACATACAAAACATGCATAACATACACATACAGTCCAGGCTGCTTCAACCGAAATCTGAGGGACTGACAGAATTTTCTTTGGTTTAGCCAGGGTTTTCGGTTCAGAGAAGTGGCTCAAATAGAAAAAAAATTTAAAAATCAGGGATTGTCTTTTCTTTTGGTTCACCACCGTTTTCTGATAAACCAGGTGTCCAGGTTAGGCTGACTCCCCAGAGTTAATGGCAACGGCAAAGAGTCAACGCGTCACATACTTCTCCTTCTTTCATTCTTTCACTCATACATTTATCCTCTCACCATTATATATATATAAACAGCTGTTTGATAAGAACATTTGTCATCATCATCTGTTAATATTCCCATCTGCCATTGTGCCTAGTAGAACCATGAGCATGTGAGCATTTCTTTATTTCACACTCACTTTTAAGAGAAATTAACTGAAACAAAAAAACAACGAAAAAACCCCAACCATGTATGCCGTTAATCAATGAATGACAATAGTACAAAACAGAAATATACCAAACAATTGCAATTGCAATGGCTAGTGATAGTTTCAAGGTTCAAATACACCCGAGTCTAATCCTGAAAAATAGAAACATCTCAATGACAACCAATTAAAAAAACCACACGTTTAAATGCAAAAAAGGCCAAGTGTGGTCAGCTCTTCTATGACGTTGGGTATTTTGTTGGTTTTTTGAGGCGTTTTTTTTTGTACAGTAGTTACCACAAACTGAAATTTCAAAGTCCTCTGATTTCACATTTAACCGCACTACATTATAGAATTTATCATTCTGAGCATTTTGATACCAAATTTATACCTATAGCTTCATTTTTAACAAAGTTATGAACATCTGAAGTTGCAGAAAAATGTTACAGTTTTTTAATTGCGAAATGTCTACACTTTGAGATGTCACAACGTTCTTAAATTTGAACGGACATTCACAAAAACTTGTAGACACACACCTATGCACATAGAGAACAAGCTCAATTTTTTTCAAGGCTATCAAATAACCAGAAGATGGAAAGTTATTGACGTAAACTTCTCACCTTGCCTGAAAACATGAACAAACTGACAAGATCTTTCACGGTCTATGGCCAGGTACCAGTTTCAACGCTCTCACATTTGTGTCACGACGGGCTGGAATCAGGCGCTCGTCAATTTTCTGGTAAATGGAGGTAGGCCCCTATTGCTTTCATCTAAAAGCTCGTTATTTTGTCTTGCTTTCATTGAAAAAAAAAATCCATCTATCTAGAATAGAAGTCAAGATATTTCTAATTGAATGAGATGAGGGTCGCCTGGTTTTAGAAGTAAAATTAGCAAGAAAATGGCCGCCAAAGTTTGTCGACTTCTTGAGAGTCCTTGGAAACTGCAAATTAAATTTTTTTGTGCATTTAATAAACGTTTTCAGTAAAATCCACACAGAAATGTGTTTTTACAAAGAAATAAAAGGTGCTGATAAAAAAAAAAATTTTTTTTAAATTGCTAGACGCTCAGAAAAATGCCGGCCTCTTTGATTTCACAACTTTGACAAGCGCCTGATTTCACCACGGGGCCTCACATATCACAGACATGCTCTCAAACGTATTTTGAAAAGTTCAGGCCTTGACGAAAAACACGTCCTCCAATATCTGGCTCTCCTCCAAACCATCACCACAGTCGCTGTCGCCACCGTCATCCAAACCGTCCCCTAAATCATCAACGACATCATCATCATACCGTGGACTCAGCAAAGCATCTCCGAAAGTCCTGATAACAACATTGACAAGATCATCATCAAAATCATCATCATCATTATCGTCATTATAGCTTTCATCATTAGCAATAATTTCATCATCATCATCATTATAATCGAGACTGTTATCCTTATCGCTCCTCCTCCATCTTCCTCTGCGACCCTCCTCCTCCTCCTCCTCCCCGACCTCCCCGTCGGCTATTTTATCCACCGACGTCAGAGAGTCGACGATGTCGTCGATGTTATCATCTTCATCGTTGTAATCCACGCCCTCGTAAACGGCCGTGCTGAAACTCCCGTCTATCGACAACACGGACCCCGAACCTCCATCGTGTTTCCCGCGATGAGACGACGACAACGCTGCTACAACGACCTCCGGCACAGCCGCACTGAGCCGCGAGGGGTTCGGCGGCCTCCTTTTCAGCTCAAAGAGTTCAAGGTTCAAATCCTGATCCTCCTCCTCCCCCTCGTCACCGCCGACAGTCATTCTGTTATTTGTGCGATTGGAAAAACCTTCTGGAAGGTTCTGCGTCCGTCGGGGAGCGGGTTTGTCTGTACCAAAGTTCGTCCTCGTCGCATCCACCTTTGCCGACCCCCACGACCTCTTTCCTGGCCGAAGGGGGTCACTGCGACCTTCACCCCAGTGCTGCTGCTGTGCCAAGCGTGAAGACGGAGACAAATCAGGATAGAAATCTGGATAGAAATCGCCGTGTCGTTGAGCTGTTGTGGTCCCCGTGGGTGCATGTTGCGATGTCCCGCCAGTCGACGATCTACCCCTGGCACTCCTCGTCCACGACTCTCGGGACGACCTCGTATCGCTGACCCCACCGTGACCCCGCGACCTCGCCTCCTGCCGCAGCCAATGGCCGCTGTCCTTGTTGTTGACCTTTGACCTTCCTGCGGCGGCCGAGGGCGGAGCACCGTCTCTAGGGGACATGGAGTTGATGATCTCCAGCACACTCAAGGTTTTGTCCCTGGGAAGCAAACGTAACATTATATTAGTTTTTTGTCCTGTTTATAATTTCCGCTTTCTTCATTAAAAATTTTTTTAATATATTTTTTTTAGCAATATTTAATATTTGACGACCCCCTGGACACAAATAAATAGTCTAGCACGCACATAGCCAAACACACAAACTTAGCGAACAGATTTTCAGGTCCAGAAATTCTTTCTGACACTGCTTAGTGTAAGACTCTTTGTTCTAGTAGAGGTTTTACGGCGCTCGCAACTGCACAAGGTCACATGAGCGGCATTGTGTAAGACTCTGCTATAAGTAGCTTTTCAAAGTGGACGAAGCGTTCGTATGGCAGAGTTTTACACTCAGCACTCAATATTCTTTACGAGAATTTAAAACATGGACATAGCAAAATTTGTATGAAACTAAAAGACATATGACTGTATGAGCCCTGACCTCCTGTGGCCACCGTGACCCTCTGCCTGACCTCCTGAGGCCACTGTGCCCCTCTGCCTGACCTCCTGAGGCCACCGTGACCCTCTGCCTGACCTCCTGAGGCCACCGTGACCCTTTGCCTGACCTCCTGAGGCCACCGTGACCCTCTGCCTGACCTCCTGAGGCCACCGTGACCCTCTGCCTGACCTCCTGAGGCCACCGTGACCCTCTGCCTGACCTCCTGAGGCCACCGTGACCCTCTGCCTGACCTCCTGAGGCCACCGTGACCCTCTGCCTGACCTCCTGAGGTCACCGTGACCCTCTGCCTGACCTCCTGAGGCCACCGTGACCCTCTGCCTGACCTCCTGAGGCCACCGTGACCCTCTGCCTGACCTCCTGAGGCCACCGTGCCCCTCTGCCTGACCTCCTGAGGCCACTGTGTCCCTCTGCCTGACCTCCTGAGGCCACTGTGACCCTCTGCCTGACCTCCTGAGGCCACTGTGTCCCTCTGCCTGACCTCCTGAGGCCACTGTGTCCCTCTGTCTGACCTCCTGAAGCCACCGTGCCCCTCTGCCTGACCTCCTGAGGCCACTGTGCCCCTCTGCCTGAGCTCCTTAGGCTACCGTGCCCCTCTGCCTGACCTCCTGAGGCTACCGTGCCCCTCTGCCTGACCTCCTAAGGCTACTGTGCCCCTCTGCCTGAGCTCCTGAGCGATATATTACTGAAATTCTTAATTAAGATCATCAGAATCACTTTCCATATATCCCACTCAGGGCAGTTCTTGTCAAAACCAGCATCTAATTCAGAAAAAGTGGCGTCTGTGACCTAGTGGTTAGGCTCTCGGACTCGCAAATCGTAAGGTCGTGGGTTCGAATCCCGTAAGGGGCCCGACGTTGTGTCCTTGGGAAAGGCACTTTGCACAAATTTTCCTCACTTCACCCAGGCGGAAATGGGTACCCGGCTATAGACGGTGAAAGATCTTGTCAGTTTGATGGTGTTTGATGGCGTGAAATCTGTAGTTTGCACTGTATGCTTCTGCGGAAGCCGAGAATGTTCCTGAATGTTCTCAGATGGTCTGCTGAGGTAATAATAGTTGTAAAGCGCATAGAGCATGCTCTTGAGCATGGATATGCACTATATAAATGCAATTATTATTTATTATTATAGAAAGATCTTCAAAATAATCAGTAACGTTCGGTGCAGTAAATAATGGTTTCCGCGTGTGTTTTGTCCGAGGCCGGCAGAGTTGGGGCTCGGGTCTCACTCACCGGTGTACCGGTAGCTAGACATACGGACAGTTTTACTCTGCACCAGTGTACTGGTGGCTAGACATACAGACAGTTTTACTCTCTACCGGTGTACTGGTGGCTAGACATACAGACAGTTTTACTCTCTACCGGTGTACTGGTGGCTAGACATACAGACAGTTTTACTCTGCACCAATGCACCAGTGGCTACGGCTCAAAGGGTTACACATCCCATCGATTTCGCTGTATGTGTCACGACGCGGTTGAATCAGGCGCTCGTCAATTTTGGGGCATATGGAGTTATAAGTATTCTCTTAAAGCTCCTCCATTTGTCTTGCATTTGGCGAAAAAAAAATACACATCTATCTTAAACAGAAGTCAAAATATTAGCGTTTGAAAGAGGTGGGGGTTCGCCTGGTGCCAGAGGTAAGATTAGCGAGAAAATGGCCGCCAAAGTTTGGTGACTTCCAAAGCTTAAGTGTCCTTGGAAATTGCAAATTTACATTTTTTGTGTGCTTTTGACGAACGTTTTTCAGAAAAATCCACACAGAAATGTGTTCTTAAACAGACACAGAAGGTATTGAGTGAAAAAAAGAAAATTCGAAAAAAAATATCCCGTCGGCCAGAAAAATGCTGATGTCCTTGACACGGCGCACCGGCAGTGGAATTTTAGTTGCCGCGGGGGGTTCCCCGCCGGGCGCCTTATCACGTCGGGGTCGCGGGGGTCAGCTCCCTGTCGCCGCTCTGTCTGGGCCGACTTAATTTTTGGTACTTTTCAACGTACAATTTAAGGTGCATCCTTGTATTTATGGTAATTCTCATTTAGTGCACCCAAAGCACGCATTTCTGCTCTTGAGACTCAAAAAAGAACGGACGTTGTAACTTGTCCGGTTATTTCGTTAGACGCGCTGGAGTCGGCAATGCTAAATTGTAATTTTTTTGGGACTAGCGTGAATGAAAAAAAATCAATATAAAAAAACCGCATTGTCAAAATCTGTCGAACTTTTGGAATATGAACGACATAACATTAGTGCAGATACTCAGAAAAGATGGTATCTGCGCTTATAATAGAAGGCTGTAATTTTGCAATTTTATCCATCGGGCACACAATTCGCTACGAAGTAATTCCTCCAAATTCAACTTTATGTGTCTAATATAATCATGAATATTCGCATATTTTCTCAAAAGTTTATAAAAGTTATCATGAAGTTTCTCAATGAAAAGTACAAATCGATTTTAGTGCTAGAATATATCTTCAACGTAGATCTAATACACGAACAGTATCTGTTACACTCCAGAAATTGCTTACTTTTCTTAAAACGCTAAGTCTAGGTTTTTTAAGTTGACTGAATAATAGGGATGACTTCTCGTAATTGGGTTATAAGAATAATTTCTAGCTTTCCAGGGACACTGAATCAGCACCAGACTTTTCCAGCTTTTTTTACGTTTCTATGACCATTTGCAATAACTGACAATGTGACTGATTTCTTTACATGCATAATTGTGTCCGCGCATATTTCCTACACAAAAACTAAGAATGAATGTTTTAGCTGTCATTATTTTTATTCCATACTAGAAGTTTATCTCTACCCATGTATTTACACGGTTTTGTGGTTTTTTAAATCGCTTATATTATATCTTTTTAGTTGTATGCAGGCTGCCACAGACACAGCATGATTCATGAACAAAAGCAGAGTAACTTTCTCTTGTTTAATAGTAAAATAAGAGCTAACGCTGATCGTCTTTAGTTAAAATATGCAGATGTGTATCTTTCTTCTCTTATAACTTGACTATTACTACTACCGCAGATTTAAGATTTCTCATGGTAAAAGACATGATATTCGTAGTCAGTTTAACACAGAATTTGGAGAGATCTGTCGTGCCTTTTTTAAAATAACAATCATTTATTCATAACGTTGCAACTAAAATAGGACAAATTGGGTACTCTACAAACACTTGTCTAGAACAAAAACTAAGGCACAGAAACTAACCATTCTAACGCAGAATAAATCTCAAGACATTGAGCTTTTAGTACATTCACGTAATGGTTTGCTGTGTGGGATGGGGAAGAAGTTATATCGTTTTAAACATAGTCAAAAATGCGAACTTCCCGACCGACACCGGCAAAGTCGCCTCAGGGCTCATTAACCCCGTGACCTCGAGCCGGGGAGCTCCGGCGGGCTGCTGAGTCACGCGAACTAAAAGTAACAGAATCGGGCGAAAAGTGATGCCATGTTGATTACATTATTGTGCCGAGAGCCTGATTCCACCACATCGTGACACATGTATGTGTGAGGCATCGTGGTGAAATCAGGCCCTCGGCAAAATAAATAAAATCGAAGAAATCAGCATTTTTTCCGACAGTTTGGACATTTTTTCCCGAATTTTTTTCTTTTCAGCTCAACACCTTGTATGTCCATTCAGAAACACTTTTATGTGTGGATTTTACGGAAACGTTGATTAAAGGCACGAAAAATGTAAATTTGCAGTTTCCAAGAACTCTTGAGCTACGGAAATCACCAAACTGTGCCGGCCATTTTCTCACTAGTTTTACTTCTGAAACCACGCGACCCCCACCTCTTTCAATCACAAATATCTTAACTTCTATTAAAAATAAATGGATATTTTTTACATTGAAAGCAAGACAAATGATCAACCTTTAAGATGATACCAATAACTCCCAAAAGCCCCAAAATTGCCGAGCGCCTGACTCCACCAGGTCACGAGACCTGTATGTGTGTGTGCTAGGCTGTAGCATTACCCAGGTGACAACGGTGGCTGTTTCTTCCTAGACTTGCTGGACGTCTTTATCGGAGCCCCAGTTTGTCTCCTTGTCTGCGTCGCTGTGTTCGTCTCGCCGACAAATTCCTCCCTGTGGGACACACAGACAGACAGACACACGCTCGTTAGAGTTTTAATTTTACTTACAGTTTTACGGCACTTGCAACACAATAAGGTCATATAAGCGCCGAAGATTAGAGGTGTTACAAGAGAGTAACAAACACAAAAAAGAAGGAGGAGAGATCAGGACGATAGATTTTTGATAGGAAAGAAGGAGCAAACCACACCAGAGCACCCGCCAACCACCCACTAGCTTGAGTTTTATTTTACTTTTAGTTTAGTAGGGTTTTTTACGGCGCTCGCAACTGCATAAGGTAATATGAGCGCCAGAAGATTAGAGGTGTTACAAGAGAGTAACAAACATAAAAAAGATGAATGGGAGATCGATAAGGACGATAGATGTTTGATAGGAAAGAAGAAGCAAGCAAACCACACCAGAGCACCCGCCAACCACCCTCTAGTTTGAGTTTTACGGCACTTGCAACAGAAATAGGTCAGACAAGTGCTGCAGATTAGAGGTGTTACTGGAGAGCGACATACAAAGGAGAGAAGGAGGGGAAATGAGGACGACAGAAGTTTGATAGAAAAGAAGGAGCAGACCACACCAGAGCACCTGCCAACCACCCACTCTGTGAAAGTTTTACAGCACTTGCAACACAAAAAGGTCACGTAAGTACCAAATATTAGAAGTATTATTTGAGATTAACAAACAAAGAAAAGAAGAAGGAGAGATTAGGACGACAGATCTTTGATAGGAAAGAAGGAGCAAACCACACCAGAGCACCCACCAACAACCCACAAGTTTGAGTTTGTATGAGTAAAGAGAAGCACATCGACACAATAATGTTCATGCAGACAGAAACAACAGAGGGGAAAGTAAAGAAGTAGGACCTACCAGTGACACCCTCCAACCACCCACACACACAGACAGAAACAACAGAGGGGAAAGTAAAGAAGTAGGACCTACCAGTGACACCCTCCAACCACCCACACACACAGACAGAAACAACAGAGGGAAAGTAAAGAAGTAGGACCTACCAGTGACACCCTCCAACCACCCACACAGACAGAAACAACAGAGGGGAAAGTAAAGAAGTAGGACCTACCAGTGACACCCTCTGAAGGCTTACTGGAGGAAGAGAAGGAGGAAGAGGTGAAAGAGGAGGAGGAGGAAGAGGTGAAAGAGGAGGAGGAAGAGGTGAAAGAGGAGGAGGAGGAAGAGGTGAAAGAGGAGGAGGAAGAGGTGAAAGAGGAGGAGGAGGAAGAGGTGAAAGAGGAGGAGGAAGAGGTGAAAGAAGAGGAGGAAGAGATGAAAGAGGAGGAGGAAGCTGTGAAAGAGGAGGAGGAAGAAAGAAAAGAGTTGAAGGTACAGCAGGAAGAGAAGGAAAAGAAAAAAAAAGTGAGAAAAGGAGAAAGAAGAAAAAATAGGAGGAGTAGTGACAGGAGGAAAAGCATTAGGAGGGGAAAGAGGAACACAAAAAAGAGGAGAAATAGGAAGAGGAAGAGGAGGAGGAGAGGAGCAAGAGAAAGAGATGGAAGAAGAAAAGAAGAAGAAAAAGAAAAAAAGAGGAGAAGCTGTAGGAGGAGAAAGAGGAAGAGAAAGAGGAGGAGGAGGGGGAGGAAGAGGAGGAGGAGGGGGAGGAAGAGGAGGAGGAGGGGGAGGAAGAGGAGGAGGAGGAGGAGGGGGAAGAGAAAGAGGAGAAAGAGGAGGAGGAAGAAAAAAGGAGGAAGAAAAGAGGAGGGGGAAAAGGAGGAAGAGGAGGAGGAACGAAATCCTCCCAAACCCGGTACCTGGGCAAATGAGCGTAGGATATGCTGGTCCCCACGTCCACCTTCCACTCTCCCTCCGCGCGGCCATCCTCCACTTCTCTCCGTCTCATCCCATCCGTCGTCGTCACAACAAAGCCAGCATTCTGATTGGCTGGTACATCGGAGCGAGCATTCTGATTGGTCGGTACATCAAAGCGACCATTCTGATTGGTCGGCGGCGTATCAGAGCCAGCGTTCTGATTGGCTGGTTCAGTTCTCGGCGTACACTGACTCTCTGAAAAATGTGGTCGCAAACATTACAAAAAGAAAGCACTATATATAGAATAATAAATAGCATTTGTATAGCGCATATCCCCGCTCAACAGCAGGCTCTATGCGCTTTACACTATATGTGAGGCAGCGTGGTGGAATCAGGCTCTCGTCAATTTTTGAGCATGTAGAGTTATTGGTATCATCTTAAAGCTTGTTCACTTGTCTTTATTTGAGTGAAAATAATATCCATTTATCATGAAGACAAATCGAGATATTTGCGAAAGAAGGAGGTGGGGGGCCACTTGTTTTCAGAGGTAAAATTAGTGAGAAAATGGCTGCAAAGATTAGT